CCCCTCATCCAGATCATTGATAAAGATATTGAACAAGACAGGCCCCAAACAGAGCCCTGGGGAACACTGCTCATGACCGGCCGCCAACTGGACTTAACTCCATTCACCACTACTCTCTGGGCTCGGTCACCCAACCAGTTTTTTACCTAGTGAAGACTACGCCCATCCAAGCCACGAGCTGCCAGCTTCCCAAGAAGAATGCTATGGGAGACTGTGTCAAAGGCTTTGCTAAAGTCCAGGTAAATTACGTCCACAGCCTTTCCTGCATCCACCAGGCGGGTCACCAGGTCATAGAAGGAGATCAGGTTGGTCAAGCAGGACCTGCCTTTCATGAACCCATGCTGGCTGTGCCTGATCCCCTGGGTGACCTGCCACTCAAGACGACCCTCTCCATAATCTTTCCTGGCACTGAGGTCATGCTGACAGGCCTGTAGTTCCCCAGGTCCCCCCTTCCGGCCCTTCTTGTAGACGGGTGTCACATTGGCAAGCCTCCAGTCATCAGGGAACTCACTCCCCTGTTAACCAGGACTGCTGACAGATGATGGAAAGTGGCTTGGAAAGCTCCTCTGCCAGCTCCCTCAATACTCTCAGGTGGATCAGGTTCTACTACTGATAAGCATAGTCTACTCTCAACATTTACTGACAGTGAGTCCCTCAGGGTCAAGGCACAATGGATGTTATATATGAGACAGTCGAATTTTGTAGATTTTAATAGAATGGCAAGTTTTCAGAAGAACTTATAATGTTGTGACAGCATAGTCATTTAGTCATTACTGACAAAAGCTTTCCTTAATATGAGGTATCAAAGAGAGAATGAATTGGTTCAGGAACAGTCCCCATAGCGCTTGTGTGATACAGCAGATCAGACACAACAGTGGAATAAAGTAACAAAGCAAGTCCAGGATGCAAAACCAGCTAAATGAAACATTCATTTGTCCCAATAACTGTTGCTGAATTGTTTTATATAATTTTATGTATAAATATTTTAATAACATTTTTTTATCAAAACCTATGCTGAAATTGGCACTTATGGCTGTTTCAGGATATGCTCTATTTATGTAAAATTTACTTTTTTTTTTTAAAAAGACAGCAATAATACATGCATTTCTGTTATCTCCAATAGAGAAACACAGTTGCCACTAGTATGAGGAGATCATCAAATTGCAACAACCTCTGTATATTCTAGATAAAATTTTTTCATGGGTTTCACTTAGAGGAGTACAAGAAAACAGAAAAGATTAAACAAGTCTGAATAAAGAATTCCCAGTGTCAAATAAAAATCTCAAATTAGATATGATTTCAAAGTGTACAATTCTACAGTATAACACCAATGATTTTTTTATTTCCCATGTAACAGAGAATGTGCTACACAGACACACATACAGAGTTTATATATTTGCATTACAATTTCACTACTATTAAACCAGAACAAAATTTCATATTTCAGACTTACCCCAACACTGATTTTCCAGTTTCATCAGGTTTACGAACAGTAAATGGACTTGGATCAATCCCCACATTCTTAGGCATAAAATCCCTGGCAAAATAGAAAGGAAAAACTGTTCACGAGCTAAGTTTAACACATAACACTTTTTAATTTTCTGGAACAACCAGCCCTAACATGTACCTCTGAATCAAAAAAAGAAATAAATAACAAGAAATATCATGTTCTAACTTCATCATTACAAGTTAAAGTCACATAAATATAAACCCCTAGGTATTTAAAAAGCTTTCAATTGCATTATTTAGTCCCATAAAACAGCAGCAACCATTGCTCTAGCCTCCTTGGCAAGTGGTAATATGCTCCATTCTTGTGCTCAAGAAGCCCTGTAACTCAGCTACATTGTTTTCAAAATGCTGCCAACACTGAAATTGGGTCAAAAAGCTACATGAAAAATAATCTGCCTGGAAGTCTTTAGCTAAAGCATGATTAAGATTATGCTTAGAATATCCAGCTGATTGCTGCCAACAACAACAACAAAAAAAACAACCCAGAACAAAACCAAACAACCCACAACTATCTGGCCAGCTGTGAGAACCTGATGAACTGAAGAGAACAATTGCAAAATGAAAGCAGAACAATTATAAAACAATTGCTTTGAAGGTAGCCTCTGTGCCCTGAGTCCACAGAGAAAAACAAATTTCTCAGCCTTCAAACATTTGGCACGCCGTAATGCAAAATAACTGGAAATTTAAGTGCTATCTTAACAAAATTATTTTAGAGTAGCATTTCCATTTCACTATTGTGATTTAGTTTCTACAAGTTTGCTAAATCTGAAGCTTTAAAAAAAAAAATCAAACACCCCACAAAACCTATCATATTACACAGATTTAACCAAGTCAAATGCACATTTAATTCACACCAAATCAACTTCCAGTTAAGGATTTATAGTCACAAAACATCCCAATATACCGTGTAGAATTGGTCATTGCCAAGCAGAAGGTCTCATCAAAACTGCTCAACTCATATGGTCGAAAAAACTCATTGTGGATATCGATTTCCTCTTCATACTTGTGGAATTTTTTCACTGTCAACTTGCGTCTGTTTTCAGCACATGTCACTGGGGAAAAGAAAAAAAAAATCTTTTTACTAACAATTACCGACTGCAAAAAACTAAACAGTAGCCTGCTTACTTAGCCACCCTACCAGGCATTTTTCTACAGCCATGTCCCCTCTAAGACAAGAAACTATGATATGAAGAAGATGATGCACAGCACATTGTTAATAAATATGCATTATCAACCACCATAATTTGATTTCCCTTCATGACGACAATTACTAATAAAACATGCTCCACAGTATCCCAGAGAAATAAGACACACTAGCAATACCCTGTCATCTACAACACGAATGTAACCACTAGCATCGACTATAAATACATGTTAATAGGCAAGGGGAGGGGGCGGGGAAGAAAAAAAAAAAAAAAATGAAGTGTGCCCTGGCACATAAACATATGGAGGTCAAGTTTTAGCCAGTTAGGTATCTCTTGCATCCTGCAGTTGAAAAATCATAGCTCACTGGGGGGTGGGGAGGGAAGTATTTGGCAATCATTATGGAATTCCCCCCCCGCCCCCGATTTGGGATCTAAAACAGTTAAAAAGCATTTGTGTCTAAAACTTCTTTTCCAAGATACTCTGTAAGGCAAGGAGCAAATATAGTTCCTACCTTCATCAAAAGGAAGAGGTAAATGCTTTAGCACACCTGTGGTCCACCAGTAAGTATAGCTGTACAGGAAAAACAGACACACAATGGATACAGAAGATTTGATCTTGTATCCAGTCTAAATGTTTGCACATAACAGTTACCCAACCATACAGTGTCACTTTAGTAAACATTTCTTTGCAATTCAAGTGTGGAAGAAAGTAAAGAATTATCCTTGGATGGAGGATTTCAACAGGCCCCTATCCTACTACTTTGCTCTCAGGCCATGAAATTGAAACACATGAAGCTCAGTACAGCTATGGAGGGAGAAGTGGTTTTGTTCCATTAAACAGAATATATTGCAGGTGCCTACCTCTACAGTACTGAAAATTAAGGTCTTAGTACATATAGAAGGTAATTATGTATTTCTCTTGTTCTGGTCTTTTTTTTTTTTAAAAAAAAAAGTATCAACCCCAACCCCACCCACCACTTATTATTCAGATCCTAAAATTAGGAAAAATTAGGAAAAATGTATGAAGAAATGAAGGTCAATGATAACAAAAATTGGATGATTGCCAAGGCAGTTGACTTCTACACATAGCTGTCACATCAAAATGTGTTTCTGTCCTAAGTCCGAGAACTGTATGCTGGCATAGCTAACAGCAAAAACCAGGCCCTGCTGAAAGCTTATTCAGGATTTCTAAATAAATTTCTAAATAAAGCATGTTTTGTCTTTCATTCATGTTTACATATTTTTATTTTCTCCAATACACTTTAATTTCTTCTCTAAACTATTCTGATAGTTTCTTCTATTTCATTACTTGGGATGAAAAGACATTTATCTTCACTGATTTTTATTTCAAAAATCTGTGGCATTCACAATGCTGTAAGGGCTGTAATCAGAGTATTAATGTGGTTATCTCCTACTCATGTCAATGTAGCCATCCAGAGCAAAAACAATGGGTATATTTCCATGCGCAGAGATAGACTTGTTAGTGGGACTTAGCAAACAGTGCAGAACAGGCAGGGCAACACACTTCAATTCCAGCAACTGTGTATGTCCTAGACAGAAGGGAATGAGTTATGCCTGACAGTCCCTTCCTGAAGTACTGTATCAGGCCATGCTAGCACGCCATTTTCTCCAGTGTCTTTAGAAACTATGCAGACATACCCAGTTTTGCTGCTTGCATAAATGGTAAGTAACATGGCAACAGAAAGTCTCCTTTTCCGTATTCACTGTCCTTTCATGTGAATCACAAATTATATAAAAATAATATATGAAACTTATTATGAAATATTTTCTTTCTGATGGAGAGGCAAATGCAATATAGGAAAACCACATAGTCAAAAAAGTTTCAATGACAGGAAACAACATCTTCCTTCTCTTCCTATATCCTTGATTTCAGTGTGAGTTTTCATTATTTCCTTTGCTGCTGTGCCCAAGGAATGCAAAAGAGGCACTGTACAGACAGGCAGGCAGAAGTTTTATGAGGAACTTGTCCAACAGTTTCACAGAAACAAAAAATTACTTGGAAGAGCTTTCTTTCACCTAACTACTTATTACATGGAGGTGTCATTTTGTTCAGATGAGAAGACATCTTGGTTGTATATTATAAGTGCTCAGAAGAAATACTGGCCAGAACGAAAGGTAAAACTTATTAACAAGTAAATGAAGAATGCCAACCAGCTTTTTTAAATGTTCCACCTCATTTGAGAACAGTATCTGTGACAAACAAGAAACAGTTGTTTAACAGAGTAACAGACTAAAGGGAGACTAAAACATTCATATATTTGTGATATATCAGCTGAATTAATTTTTGACATACAATAATGTTCGGAACCAGTAGGCAATAAAATTAATGTTGCATGTTTCATGTGTGCATAAAATAGCATTTGATTGTATGGCTGATATAAGCTAGCATCAAAAGAAGCCTCAGGAGACAATACAACAGGATTGAAATTTAGAAACAGTCATATCACACGCCAGCTGCCATGACAGGTTAATAGAATAAGCAGCCAACAGGGATTGAATGCATTGTTTAAACACTTGCATTTTCCCCAGATAAAAATCTAACTGCAGATATTCAGATCTACCATTTGTGATACAGACCTTTAAGACTCATAGAATGAACAAAGATACAAACTGTGAAATTCCTAAAAAGAGATGATTTAGTTAACAAGTCTAGTACTGTCCTTATTATTAAAAGGGATTTTTTGTTTGGTTTTACACACAGTATTTATAATCCTTAACAAAATCATGCTGCATTGTGAAGCACTCTAAAATTACTTCAAATTTTTTATGCTTTAGCTCTACTACTTCTGTATATTACTGTGCAACTATAATGGAATGCAAATGAAGAAAAAGTCTTCAAAACAGGCTAGACATGGCTGAAAGGAAGGCAGAAGAATCATGGGCTTCATGGTATGCACAGCTGCAGACTAAGTGCATTACACAAAATAAACAAACAAATGTTATCCTCATCACCTAATCTCAAATACGAAAACTTAATAAATCTGATCATCAAAAATACACCTATATATTGCTTAATGAGACAGTGGTAACTGTACTTCAGTAAAATAATGAAGCATTTCACACTGCAGGACAGAATTTCATATGAAAGGAAACTTTTTTTCAGTACAACAGGAAAATAACATACTAAAGCAAATCCTTCAAAACACCAACATCCAACATTTTTTGTAATCTGTTGAAGGGTTTTTTTTAAGTTTTCGTAAAAACTTAAAAAAACAGTAAGCAAGTTTTTGGCAGGCTGACCAAATTATTTGGTTAGCAACATGGGGTTTTTTATTAGAGATTTATTAGAGCAATACCAAACAAAAAAAACAGAACAGCAAAATACCTTCGCCTGGTCTGTGACAGACTGAGGGTGTTCTTGTGATGCAAATAAAAATCAGTGGGAAGTTCCCAGAGATGAGGTTTTCCTTCTGTAGGCTTGAATACTCCCAGAAAGAGATTGATAGAATCTTGCCTGTCTGCATCTGTTAGACAAGAGGTACACTTAATGCCAGAACATTGCAGAGCTCAAGCCCATTCAGACATTTGCTTGTTTGTTATGTTCGCTCCTCAACAGACAGTGTGTACGTCCTATGACTTCGACAGGGACGTCTTGGGCTTCAACCACCGTAATGAAACTTCATTTAGACCTGACCTTCTGCCACACTGCAGTGCACGGGGGCTGGTACCAGCACTGCCTCTTTCCTTGGCTTCTCTCACACAAGCCAAGGCAGAAGCTCTGCTTAGAGGATTTGCAGAAGTAAGACCTCACATTGCAGCTCTGTCTCCCACCTCTACATATATGTATATGCATGAAGCATGTGCATGTATTTATGCATGTTTCATGGAATCTGACATATCATGATGAATTTACTGCAGTCTAAATAACAGAAGAATGATTTCATGAAATTAAACAGTATCCATGCAATACACAAGTTTCCCACATAACACACATATTAGGAATTCTTTGGGTTTTTCTAGCCAAAACATAGTCAGTAAAATGATTAAACTTCACAAACACCTTTTAATAATTTGGACTTCTTTTTCCCTGTCAGTTTAAATCATCAATTTCTTTTGCCATATTCTAAGCTTCACCAAACTAAATAAGGCAAGTGCTAAAATCCAGTAGTTCCATACCACTGTAGATGAAGCATGACAAGAAACATTGTTGTTCACTTACATCTTTAAAATCTCTCTTGCTACCTAGCTGCAGACAGGATGAGTTACAACAGATAGGAAAAAAAGCTGGAGTCAGATGAGGGCTTGGGGATGGTGAACTATGATAAAGACAGCTTTGCAAGCAGAGTGGTAGGGGCAGAGGAAGGCTTACACACAAAGGATCTTCAGATATGGGGGAATATGTGGAGAATTGAGTTCTATTTGTGCTCTGCGGAATTAGCATGTGGAAAGCTCTCGTCTCCACTCGTTTGCACTTCAGTAGTCATCAGACAAGGAATAGTTCAGACTAGTTCAATAGATAGTGTTACTCCTTCAGTTCTCTCCATGTTTTAAAAAGAGTATTACAAGAGTTGAGCATCCCTTTAGCAACACACTGCATCAAAAAGACAAACTGAAGTCTCACTATACCAGAAAGCAGGTAAAAAATATAGGCAGAATCCACAAAGCGGTGGTATGACAGCAAGAACAAAGTTGGTTCCTGGCCACCACCAAAGTTTCAGTCAATACCTCCTTCTCCCCAGAATTCAAACATCTCTCCCCTCTGTGCAACATATAGTATTTTTTACAGGGAATTAAGACACACAAGCAGCTGACAAATGAAGTGCTATGTAGAAATTTTGTGACAATAGGTTTATAGAGAAGTACTGCACTTTATAGAAGTGTGCATATGTGGAGGTCAATATTTGGAGGTGGAATCTTCTGTACAAACAGTCACATGGTGTAACAGGGCAAGGCACCAGGAAAAGGGAAAAGCTCTTGATGTTGCTTGGCTCCCCTTCCCTACTTAAAGGACCTTTCATCTGGAATCCGGCTTTTTTCTTCCTTTTCTATGCACGCACACTCCCTCCAGATACTTCTACTGTCCCTTCACAGCACTTTTCCAAAAAGATACTTATTCTACCTTCTTTCTTGCTCCTCACCTTCCCAATTTTCTTAAGAGGATCAACTTATAAACATTATCTCTTCTACACAGTAATACTCAAAAGCACATGTAGGTCCTTATGGTTTGCAGGCCATATTGTTTCTGCAGAATAATGTCACTGTTTAACCAAGACATAAGGAGAGAATGAGGAAGGCCAGGAACAGTGCAATAAAGCTACGCAAAACTCAGTAAAAAGGGTTGGAAAAAATAAACAAGAAAAAACTTGTTGAGGACACTGAGAATTAAAAAGAGAGGAAAAGTCACAAGCAATAACATGTGTTCTTTCTTCCTCATAAGTTACTTTGTGGTTTAAAAGGTTTTTTTTACTAGCACATTTTTAAGACCATTTGAGAAAACAGGAACTGAAGGGGCTATTTAATTGAATTAGCCTAAAATAATCTACTGCTCTCGATCTGAGTTTGCAACTGCACTACATGACAAATTACTAAATCATAAGAGATTCAACACAATGGGGACTATAACTTCCCATGACTAAAAGATTGTAATAATTAAGTTTACTTTCATACAACACTAAAAGGTAGTTTATTATGTCCAGTCCTGTTTGTGGATAAATAGATTATTCCAGATTCCAGAAGTTTATTATGCATGTTGCAACTCCAGCACTGAAGCCTGCAACATCACATTACCTTCTAAAAGGCATATAAGTCAGAAGAATATTATTTGGAATACTATTTCCTAATTTCTATGGTAATCACAAATGAAAGAAAAGTGTTCTAACTAATCAGAATGCCTGCCAGAGAGGGTGTTGAAGGAAGACCTAATTCTTAGCTGGATGATGTTATTTCTTCTGGTACAACTCGCTTGCTTATAACCAGGGTACTTCAAACAGTTGAATTCCCAAACTACACTGCACCCTCTACTTTTTTCAAATGCTAGAATTATAAACATGCATGAAAACCAGAATTTTTGCCTAAACCTGTAAGATTTTTTTCAAGTTACCATAAAATTAATTGTCCCACATTTTTAGAAGGAAACCTTGGTTTTCTTCCAAGCTTCAGTCACTAACTTGATCCTGAGAAAACTTCTTTAACTCTTCACTCTTCTGTTATATAGGCAACATATTACAAATTTACAGGTACAGAAAACCTATAGAAAAGCTAAACCACATATCATGACCAGAGTGAAACTGCATTCAAAGTTATCTTTCTTACAAGTCCAAGTCTTATCTACTGGATTAGTATCTCCAGGCAAGTCACTTAACCGATACATGGCTTACTTTTTGTCATCTGTACAACTTAATTAGTCGTGATTATCTTAAGAACTTTGAAGTCAACAGATAAAACCATTTTCTTAAAAGTGTAAATTATTTTTAGAATCATGTCTTTCTTATGACAAACAGAACAAATGTGGCTAAGTGACTTATTTAGGAGGCACTGTTTGCAGGCCACTTGTAATCTTGTTCTGAATCTGATGTACTGTATGACTTCAAGCAAATCACTAATTTTCTGTGTCTGTTTACTACTGGTACATAAAATTCATAAGCATTAAAAAAAGTTTCTCAGATGAGACACACAAGGAAATGCTGGCTCATGGACTGGCTAGCCCTCAGATTTTTATTTGTATTTTCAAGGATATGTGATGGATAGTAGCAACAATAAATGCAGTACAGCAAATCAGAATCTTGTTCTAAAAATGCTTCTTTTATCTCTGCTTTCTGAGAAAACTTCAAGAGTAAAATGATCTCTCTCAATGTGTCACATTAACAGGCTTGCAGATGCCACATGAACAGGCAGTGTTGGACAGCGAACCTTTAAATTTCACTGAAGTGAACCTTTTAAAATTTCACACTAAAAATGCAGTAAATACAACATTGAATGCTATGTTTCAACAATCATTCAACTGAATGCTATGTTTCAAACACAAGGAATGCATAAAGCACCAAAAATATTTGGCTCAAATGGGATCAAATACCAAAACCAGAAGTAAATTGGGGAAAGTGTGCAGCACCTTTATGAAAGTTTCATTTTTCATATTTACTTCAGTAAAGCCTACCATCTGTTTGTGTACTCAGCTACAAGTTTTCCGAGATGACAAGATGGACTTTTTTCATTCTGTATTCTTTCTTCTTTTTGTAACATCTTTTTCAGAACAAATCCTTTTATTACTAAAACACGTGCATACCTTGACTATCCTTGCAAGCACAGCACAACTGCAAATATGGATTCTAGAACTTTGCTCAAGCTTCTGCCCAACCATTTAGGTGACTGGCATAAAAGTGAACAGCTTCAAAGATTTGTTCCATCTTGTACTTATCAGTACAGGTGATACTGCAAGTGTGCTCCCTTTTGCTCATAAGAATTGATGAAACCATACCTTATTGCCACTGCAAACAATAAGAGACCATACCACTGAAATAAACAAGCTCTCAACTTCTCATTTCATTTGGGCAAATACGATACACAAATTACAGAAGTTACATTCAGAAACAGCACTTTAAATGCTGTGCTCTGACATTTTGTTACATATACAGAATTGCCACTAACAAAAGCAATAACTTCCGCCAAAGAAACCAAAGATGACTTAGTATTTCTAGCCAGTGTCCAACTCACTGTTTTAAAGTTCACATAGTTTCTAAATAATTGCAGTCTACTAGGGAAAAAAAAAAAGCAACTTCCTTCCTTGGCTACGCAGCTTTTGTGAAAAAGAGTAAGAGGAATGACACAATATTTAGAACACAGCAGCACTCAGTGTTTGTCATCCTGACATGTCTTAGACTGTCCTTCAATCACTCTTTTAGATCTTTCTCATGACTTCTAAAAACACTAAGCATTTTTTTTTCCAGTTACTTTACATAAGGTATGGCTCAGCATTTTTCAAAGAGGTTTCTCTTAGCAATGTCGTCCAGAACAAAGTAGAACAGTACCAGTGACTGATACGAGCTAGTAAAGGAGTAAGCTAATATTTTACAACTTATCTAACTCAGGAAATAGCTTATTTACTTGGTGGACCTTGCTTTCTGAATTTAATTTTGTCTTTTCTGCCACAGATTCAACAGTTAGTAGCTTCTGTTCATATGAAACAATTATTTGCATCAGAATATGGTTTTTGTTTGAAGTCCCCAGAAACATCACAAGAAATACTCCACTTGAAGCCTTCCACTTGTGTTTAGATTTAGATTTACCAGTTTCCTTGTATTTGTTGAAGTCATTCTGTCCATCATTTTAACAGCTCTGTAACAGCTACCTGCTTCTCTACTGATCTACAAATGTCACTGTCAGTTTCAGTGCTACATGTGTACATTTTCTAAATACTTCTAACATCAGTTCACTAACTTTTATCAAATAAGGCTGCATGCTACAAAATGCGTTTGCATAGGATATAAATACTTCATCAAATCAGAATACCCATATCGGATCAATCCACCAGATTTTATGGAATTATTTGGAAATTACAGTACAGAGGATCTCTGTCATAAGATCATAGTATGGATTACTGAAACATCACAAGAAAGATGCTTTTTAAATAATGGCTTAAAAGGAAGCACTTAAAATTAAATTTACCTGAGAAAGCGTTACTATAATATCTTGAGAGTGTTTGCATAATATCTTTGGAATGCTGAGTCCATGGAGCTATCTTTCTATAGGTTTTTACTCTGTGGACAAGCTGAGAACCTCCATATTGCAGAGAAAGTGTGTCTCCATGATCTTCATATAATTCTTCAAATAATCTGAAGGAAAAGCAAAATGTGTCCTCTATCAAACTTCTGAAAAGATTTTTTTAAGAGAAAAAATAAAGTATTGTAATAATAAAGTCTCTGTTTAACAAGCAATATGTTTTCTTCTCCCTAGTACTCTTCGCAGTTTACAAAACGAAGTATTTCATTAAACCATGCTATTAACTTACAAACACTGAAATTTAAAGCTGTGTCTCTATTCTTTATTCAGATAAATATGTGGAAATTTTATTCAGATATAATAATTACTAAGAAGGATTAGATTGTAAAATTGTCACTAATTTATAATACGTCAGAATGCATTCACACTACAGAATATGCACTTCTGTAGATTCAGGGAAAAATTAACATGTCCTACTAGTCTGTGGGGAGAAAACAAACCATATACCTTCACAAACTAAGGTATTTTAAATACACCAAATGTTACAGTAACAATTGCTCAAAGGTACAAACCAAATAAACATGACTTGTAAGAAACGTGAATGGCAGTCAGATACCATATGTTTGAGCTAGAAAAACATGATGTAAGAAGAAGGTAGAAAGAGTTGGCTGCTAAGATAGACAAGGAGAGCTGGCTAAAAGCAACATAGTCCTCTAGCATCAAGAAATTGACAGTAGACTCCAAACTGAGAGCAGTCCAAATAGCAAAAATTATCAAGAAGCTCCCCATCAATGACAAAAACAAGACAACAGTCTCAGAAAACAAGGCTATCCTAAGGAGATGACACCCAGTCTAAAAGATAGCAGATTGAAAAGTGCTTCTCAGAAATTCAGACTATAGCCTTGCTTGAGCAAGACAGTGACAAGGATGACATCTTGCTAAAAGAGGCTGAAAGTTTAGTCAAGAGGCAAAAGAACAAAACAGAACAAAACAACAACAACAGCACAACCACCAAACCTGTGGAAACGTATTTCACATCAGTATAGCATTCCTTTAAGAAGGTATCCAATAAAGGGATAGTACTGCATAAGTAACCCAGCAACCATCTGACTGAAGTCCTCCTCAAAAGGTTCTGGATTAAGAACACTTATCAGAGCAGCAAATCAATTTCTATAAAAAGAAAATAGCTGTCCAGGAAATCATCTGCCCAAGGTGAAGTACAAAAAGATCAATTAGGAGGAAACATCTGCTTATTAACCTAAAAAAAAACCCCAATACCAACCCAAAAAAACAACAAAAGAAATGAACCAAAACCCACTTGCCTCCACACAAATTGTTCAGAGCTCATGACACCATGTATAAGAATCTCCTGTTTGTTTCTTTGGGTTTGGTGGGTTGGTTGGTTTGGGTTTTGGTGGGGTTTTTTGTTTGGTTTTTTTTTATACAAGAGGAAAAGACAGCAATGCTGGTCAACTAAAAGCTAAAAAAATAGGTTGAAGGCAAAAACTGGCAGGTAAAACGATGATACCTCTCAAAAATTTCCCAGTCAGCCATGGGGTGAACAGAGTTCCAATGACCTTGCAATAAACGTTCACAGAAAGCAGACAACTTTAAATTCATTAAGGATGTTGATCCACTTGATTTGGAAAGGACTTGCAGAATTAAATTACCCTTCCACAGCCTCAAAATATTAAGCCTGCAGTCAAACAAAGACTAGTCTTCTGTAGAGAGAAAAGTTAACTACAGATGATAAAATAAGCTGCTATGGTACACCTTGTCTAGGAAACTTCCTAGATAGGACAACAACTACACTGAAGGAATCACTAAGAAAACCTGCAGAAATGGTCCTGTGCAAAGTCATTAAGAAAATTAATCTTGTTACACACAAAATTGGACTGTTCAAGACTCATGGTTTCTTTATCTTTCAGGATGCTGCTAGGAAGAAAATTAACTCTATCCCAGCCGAAACCAGGACACCAACTGAAATAAAATGCTGACTTCAGAACTCTAGTTCAACAGAAATTCTGTATTGTAGCCAGCCAGTGAGACCATATGAGAAAAATCAGAATTATAAGAAGGACAGTTGAAGAATGTGATGAAAAGCGTTAGTTTTTCAGACACATGAGCTAAATTAAGGAAGACAGACCACTACAGATTACCCTCGTTGGCCAGTTAGAAGAGTGTCAATGAAGAGGCAGAGTACGCAGGAAGCAGATACTCGATGTGAGACAATGCAGGGAACAAGAATGTGGGAGGTCAAAGTGGAAGACTGCGCAATGGAGAAACAGTATAGCACATGCCTCTCTTCAGAATTTGTTGCACTATGGAGCAGTATTTTTTAATTATTCTGAATACTGTAATTCAGAAACAAGTCTTAACAGATGACAAAATCTGTTTCAGACAGGCATACATCTAATGCAATGGAGAAGAAAAAAATAAGTCAAATGTGGCCAGATGAAAGTAGCCTTTTATGCCAGGCTAATAGCTACATTTCAGAGAGATAATGAGAAATAAGGTATCAGGAAAATCAGAGACAAAGCAACTACTATAATCTTAAGGGATGATGGTAAGAGATGGAAATTCGGGTCGTTGAGGCATAGAGAGGAAACAGGAGGGAGAGAAGATAAACAGGAAACACGGGACTATTGCAGCAGGAAGCAACAGAGGAAATTCGGGCTCCCAAAATAGGGGTGGGAACAAGGGAGGCAGTGAAGCCTAAGGAAAGATAGTAAAATGCAGCCTGAAGTGCTGAAGTAAGTGGTATTTGTAGAGGATACGACAGAGAGTGGATACAAGAGACCTGTCTACCTCCTGATCCCCTCTAGTTAGAACCCAAGAGTCCTGACTGCCAAGTCCCCGGAAGGCTGCACAGCAACCGGTATCTGCAGCAGCAGTTGTTTGTTCCCAGAGGTAAACATGCAGCACCCAGCAGCTGGGACACGGTGGATGAGAGGCACTGCTAGCACACCGAAGAAGCCAGCCAGCAGGTGCTCTCCCTGGCCATCAGGCAGAGGCCAGGAGCCACCACTTGCAGTGAGCCAACATGCTACAAGTGAGGTTGTTTCTGCGGCGCATACCAGCTCCTGGCACCAGGCAAGTGCTGGAAGCTAACAGGAGAAAGAAGAGGAGCTGAAGGCACGTCTCGAGTAAAGGAGAGAGGAGACTGAGTACTTTGTCTTTTCTGAAACATGAGTTACATCTCCACTTTCTAAAGCTATCAAACCACTAGTCAAAACCAGCAATGAAGCAGTAAGTTTCACAGTCACGACAACAGCTTTAAGGAATAAAACCCACATCACATCAGGGACTCTTACATTAATTTCTGAAGCATATTCACAAGTTAAGTACCTTAGTTCCTCCTAACCCCCAGAGCATTTCAATGCCGGGTTTTCTTAAATGGTTTGAGGATGCTTGAATTAAGTATCATTGATACTTGATCTGAGAGAACAACTTTGCTGAAAACTTTTCTTCAATAAATCAAAAAGCACAAAATTTTTCCAAAGGAAAAGCAGGAAATAGCAAGGTAAGATGTACTTCTATATAAATATCAGTTTGGCATTTGCCAAAGCATGTACTACTTTCAGTTCTCATTTTTCGTCAGCATTTTGCCTCAAGCAAGTGAAGTAAGTGTAAAAGACTGGGGTGGGTTTTTTGTTACATTTGTTTAAAAGGAAAACTCTTAGCTTTAAGTTTAGGCATATAAAGAGAATGAAGTCAAGCAGTTATCTTGTCAGAAGCCTGATTAACATGCTTTTCCAGAAGAGCAAATTTTCAGCGTGACTGGATTTTCTCAAGAAGATTTCAAGGATGGAAGATTTTTTAAACTCGGATGAATAAACATTCTTAAATCATTCCAATAGAAAGAATTGCACTTTTCTTCTACATAGGCACAATTTTCCTAAATCTCTTGACACAAAATTAAAAAATAAAACCATGACACATTTTATTATTATAGCTTACCTAACAGCATCCGTATCAAATTGTAAGTTTGGTTTATCAATCAGTCCCAATGAATAGAGTTGGTATGCCAAAGCACATTTTCCCACCATAAATTGGGCTGTGTTAGTGCGATCTAAACAGTCCACACAATTGGTTCTGAGAACTCCAGTCTGGTAAAGCAATCCAAAGAAGAGATTTTTCTTAATTAACAAATTACTACCCTCATGATTATTACTTTTTTCCTACTATCCAAGACTTCTCAAATCTCAAATTATGTCAGCTCACAAAAATTTGAGAAAAGACATTTCTAAAAAAATGTTAAAAACCAGTTCATCTCTAGCAAGCTCCATCAGACTGCTGTAATGCCTATTTTCAAAATATTCTTGCTTCTATCATAACACAAACTGCATCTCTCCTTCAACTCACAAGCAGCCCTAAAGATTTACCTTAAAAAGAAAAGCCACATTATTTCAGTGAAGAAGGTCTTATTTTCAAGTATGCTGTAATTACTGAAAAAAGTAAAGCACGCTTTTAACTTGCTGTGCTTCTACTGTGATGGTGCTTATATTTTAAGCTTTCCGTATCTGGAGCAACACACATGAACGTTTTTTGAAGGTCACAGTCATGCGTAAATTCTTTTATGCTGCTTGTACCACCACTCTTCAATTTCATAATGCACACAAAGTTATTTTATAACACGAACAGCTGCAAGAAACGTATTTTAATATAACAGCGTGGAGGATTCTTCGGCGCTAATATATATGGCTACATCCAAGCTAGTCAACTAAACTTTTATTGCCTTAATAAAGAAGCACTTTTTGGGTGTGACTCACAAGATGTCTATTCTGAGACAAACCGTGATCCAAATGCTTACATGTATGTCAAGGGCGACTACCTCAAATGATGAAAGTTGAAAGACAGATAAAATAATCATTCCCCTAATACAGGTATACCTGTAAGACTACCATTAAAAAAAAAAATCTAACCAGCACTGATAGGTTTTATTTTAAAACAGATCAAATTCTATCTACACTGCTGTTTATCTGCCCTCAACAAACGTATCACAGTGATCACTTAGTAAAGGAATGGTCACATGCCTTCTAACTTACATGAACTACAAAATTATGAATGGCAAGTCAAAAGCAACTAATGCTTCTTAATAATATGCCCTTAGTTCAGAGTATATAATCAGGTGTAAGTCTGGTACTGTATGGTTTACAGTTTACTCAGCACTTTTCTGATCTTAAGGAAAGCAGTGTTTCCAGTTTTATTTTCTTTTAGTGATGGAAATTGTAACAATGTACAGAATATTCAGCACCAATGAAAATGCTTTTAATAACCTATTTTCATGTGAATGAATATGTCTCCAGGCTTAAGTATGCTTATTCTTCACCTCTTCTGTATAAAGTTATATTATGCAGTTTGCTAAAATGCTGCTGTTTTAACTTTCACTGCACTGGTAACACTACAAACTAAATAGTAATGGAAACTAGTTTAAAATACAAGCATTTCTCAGGCCACCTCCAGCAAAAATACAATTCCAACAGCATAAGGTTTTGTGATACCACGCAAGAACTTTAAGCCCTATTTCCCAATTGGATTTCTGGGATGGACAGCAATAATGCTGTTTACTACAAATATTTATTTGAGACCACACTGTGAGTCACCAATCAGGTATTTAAGTGAAATGGTTCACTGGTGCTTTGGGAGTGCTGATCTACATCACTATAACTATGAATTAATAAAGTATATTTTAGTACCTGCAAGCGACCAGTGGAAACAACATAACCTCCCAGTTCATTCCACCTGAGAAACAAAACAGAATGACTTACAAATCATTTAAAAAAATAACAGATCATACCATGTATTGATCTGCTCAGTGAAAAAGGGTGACAATTAAAAACCTGCACAAAGCAAAACTGATATCCCTGAACACCAGAAAGCAGCGAACACTCTATGCAGCAGTAAGATGTTATAGTTAAACCACACTGCCAAAAAAAAAAAAAAATCTAGCCTTAAAGTAGAAATATTCTAAAGCCACACAAAATATTTCCTTTGCTCCCTATAAAACAGAGTATGAACAACACAAGTGTTGCTAGATCTGGTTTTAAGTGCCCAAATATTGAAGTAGGTACAATGCCAACAACTGGAAGGTAGAGGCATAACACACACTGTAGCACAAGCTGGTCAATTTAAAACTTCCCCCTCATACTGATTCTAGGCATACATGCTGGATACATACATACAAACATATTGTCCAGGTCTTGCAATTCTGTATAGGCCTTAACTGTACCCCAGAGCCAGAGAACATCAATCAGAAATTAATGACATTTTGAGGTAGAGGAGCAGTTATGTTCAGTGCAAGTAACCCCTGAACTACTGAGTATTTTCAAGTTAGTAGGGTTACCTATAGCCTGACCAGAGCACTGCTATGGCAAGCCTATATAATACATTTGAGACTCACCAGACTACCTCTACAGAACACAGCATTACATGGAGGTATCGATCTTGTTCCTCCTAGTTTACAGGTGCCATGTTTACTGTAATGCATGAAAAAAATGCATACAGGAAAGGTCTAACAGAGCCTATGACAGTTTTAGCTCAGACTGTTTCTAAATGAAGTCTAAAAAGGCAAGGATGTTCTTTGTGTAAAATATGAGCTCCCATTTGGGTAGTGATGAATTAGATCTCTAACGCGAAAACTTGTGTCAAAAACTTATTGAACTTCTAATGTGGAAGTTATTTTACTTCTGGATTTTCAGGTACTTGAGAGAATTCAGCTGATTGAATCACTGTAATTCTGCAACAGTCTAAGTAAATACAGTTTCTATTTAAAAAAAAAAAATTAAATTTAGTATGTATGAATACCATAAAATCCATTGGAAAACACTGGACTCAGTAATATTTAGATGATAGTTATCTTATCAGTATGCCTTAAAAGAAGCCACTTGCTAAATTCCAAATACTGTTTGCTTTGTTAAATTTACCCCTAAATTTAGGATTCCTTTGGTTAAGGTGGAAAAAAAAAAAAAACTTTTATATAAACACACATGGCACAGATTACAAGTTACAAATAATGGATTGAGTAAGAATTCATTGTAAGTAGAACAGCAGCAGCATAATTGTACTCTTTTGGTGTGTTAGTATTTCTTAGCACGTGCCTCTGACTGCAATTCTCTTAGCTATAACTTGATAATGAATTGCATTTTTTCATATTAATTTAAGCCTTAAAATAAGAAATAATGTAATAGACATAGAAATTCCAGACAACTCTCCAAGGAATAGATGTTATTCAATATGCATCAATTAAATTATACATACTTTTCATCTGGCCGCAAGATACTGCAGTAGGAATCAGGTCGATTTACAAAAAATCCAGTCTTCTTTACTACACTTTCTGCAATCACATTCAGTCTATCAAGGACATTGCAAAGTTTGCTGAGGAGAGGAAGAAAAAAAAAATACAGTCAAGATACATTAATACTAAAATAATTTTCACTGCTTGTAAAGTCTTTAAATTACAAAAATGATTTAAAGGAAGACTCACATCACAGCTTTATTTATCCAAGAGTAATTAGGTCTATAGTTTTCTTAGATTTTACAGACTTAGGAAACAGACACTGACTGCATCTGAGCAATTTTTTACTTTTTAATAAAACATATTACAGGAACTAGAAATGGAAGACTTAAAAAAATCTAAACCTCCTTGACTTTCACACCACACTGATTTTCCTCTAACAAACTTTCTGTGATTCACAAAATAAAAGTGAGACAGAAAAGGATATACAATTATACTAAATCACGTTCCCTCATTTTGTTTGCAAGGTGCTGTTTTGTTCAGTAACACTTGTCTCCACATGCAGCCTTCATGATGTCCTGCACCTCCTGCTCAGATCAGGGCATCCATCTATTCATTGTTGGGGACTTAACTTCTGTTTACTTGTAATTTCATTTTCAAAGTTTTTATTACAGTGTTTACATTTCAAGTAACAAAACCAATTATTTATTTTTTAAAGATTGCTTATACTGAGATGGAAGCAGTATTTTGGAACATCTCTACCAGTACTACTTTCCAGCAAACTTACTTCAAAACTACATGTTAAAGCAAACACGTTCTCAGTATTCCTGAAACTGTCAATTCTTTAGGCAGACATATATGTATTATCTTCCATTCTTAAATATCTCTTGCTTGCATAAATAATCTTGTTCAAAGCCTTCAGGTATTTTTTATATCTGTACTAGGGTGGATATGTATATAAATATACCTCAAGCTTAAAGCTAGAAGGGGAATCCTTTGATCACCTAGTATAATTTCCCATATAGGATAGACCGCTAAGCTTCATCAACATCACTCCATATGAAACCCAAGAACTTGCATCTAGCACATCTTCTGAAAGGAAATCTAGCCTTATTTCGAGATTTGCTATTTAATCGTAACAAAAGCAATTGCATATACACCTAACTGTACACAATGCCATTTTAGAATAAAAAATCAGTGTGAAATCACATCAAACTTCAAAGTAACAGTTTCACACCTACATGACCAACCGTATCAACCAACTTGTAATCTCAAATAGCGAATAAAGATTGTTTTCCAAAGCTTTTTTCATAAAATTTAATAGACAAACATTAGTTACATTCCTGCCCTTTGAACCACACCAGCTTTTCCATTGTTTAGCTCAGACTGATACAGTAACAGATACCTGAAAGTTGATCCAACATTTCTTAATCATTCTTCTAGAATTTCTGGCATTATAAGATACAGTAGACGTGCAGATCAGAGAACTTTACAACAGAGTTGTGTGTTACTTAAGGATAGCGATCTATACCTGTAGACTTAAAATGTTTGTGCCTTGTAAGTATCTCTGCGTTTAGGAAAACATTCATGCTTTTCACATGATCCTAGTACAGCATTCGATTGTCCAAAATTATAGAATAAAAAGTTACAGAATATATTTGCCTAAGATACATGCTTCTAATAATCTAAATGTTTTACAACATTGAAATTAATGCCCTCATTTCCTTTTCGAAAAAGAAATGGAAGAGACTGATTGATATGAAACCCCTTGTTTTCCAAAATTTTGTAACTCAACAAATTCAATTACTGAAATGGAACACCTGACAAAATGCAGTGTTTTGACTAATTCAAATTAAAAGTGAATGTTGGTGGCTTTTTTGTGGCTTTTCTCTAAAATTTTCCTCTGCAGAGAATTTCACAGTTCTCAGGCCTTGCTCCACTTTGGTAAGAAACCATAGAAAACATTAAAAATCCTTAAAAAAGATGAGGTTTTATTCCATCCATAGATCTTAATAAAATTCTCCCATCATTCCTAAGCTACACTCAACTGAAAAGCGACACACTCAGTAGCATACAGTTATTTGTATTGTGGCTAAGAGCACTAGCACAAAGAAGGATCTTTTCTACCTTTTTGTGTATTTGGCCATATCCCAGGGTATATATATAATTGCATGCTCTGGGGGTAAAAACTGGTTGAGATATGTCACAGCAGCAACAAGTTCTTCACTAAGGATCCTTTCGTGCTTTCTTTTTTCACGTTCCTTTAGCAAAAAGAAAAGGAAGTTAACATTTCAATTTTCATTAACAAAAGTATGTAACCCATATACATACATATATACATGTATGTACATATAACAGAACTTAAAAGCAGAAGCCATAACAACAGCAGGCAGTTCTTCATAACTAGTACAGTTAATTTAAGAACAGAAGAGGCAGAAAAATCTAAACATTCTGGTTTTTTAACAATTGATCTGTATTAGTAGTAAAAGTCACCTGTTTCAACTGTGCATAACCATTGGCTGAAAATGGAACCTTTCAAGAGCAAAGAAGAGCACACAGAAACAAAAGTGGTAATAGAGTAAACAAATACAAGAGAGAAGGAAAAAGGCAGAAAGGAAAAGCGTCCCATTCGATTCTGGGGTACAAAAGGAGCCAGGCAAATTCTTCTCCATTACTGACAGGAGATGGGGAACAAGAGTTCCCATCTCCCAGCTTTACAATAATTCTAAAAAATCAGAATTATGTTGCCATTCTGTGAATATACCATATGTTTTAGCTCTCTATATATTAGTATGGCTTTCCTCTCAACTTCATCCAAACTGAAACCTATACTGAACCTATGTTATAAAAACTGCTTTAAATACATAATAGCAGTCCTAAATAAACAAACCCAAAGGAAGCCTAATACATTCACTACTAGTTAACAAGTTTCTAGAAGACAGATATAGGAGGACATACATTTATATTTCATCAATATTTAAGAAATCAACTAATAAAAGTAGTGGAGCTAGAAGTGCGTAGCATTTGTGTAAAAGCAACAGCAACATCCAAAAAAAGGTGTCCAGATTTGGGGACTTCCCCACCTCACTTTTTTTTTTTTTTTTCCAAGCAGTACATAAAGTAATAAAGGAACATGAATTTTAGCATCTTAATATTGAGCATCTACAGAGAGGGAAAGAAGAAGCATTTTCAGCCACTGTATCAAAAGCCCTGTCAAGAAAAGCATATAATGACTCACGTGTCAAGGTCATGTGAGTCTAGGCTCACACTATAACAATGGATTTTGAAAGCTATGGCTGTAAGAGATAAAATAATTTTCTTGTCAACAAATGCTATCCTAAGTTGATTCCACAGACTCTTGGACAATCTTAAAAGCACTCCCACAGAGGAAAGCTTCCAGAAATAGAAAACAGGTTATTTAGTGGCCATTTAAAAGACTTAGTGTTTAAAAACCTTCCTTTTGTATTTTCCCTATTTTTTTTATACTAGGAATGGATCCTACATGCACATAAAAGATCCTTTTTTCTACTGAATATAGTTCTACAACATGATAAATGAAATTTTTTTTTCAAGACTAAAAAGAAATAACATAGGATTCAAGCAAAACAAATCAATATATTAAACTCAAATGTGGAAATATACACCACCACAGAAAATGACTGGATTAGAACAGAAAAAAACAAAACAAACCCCAACACAAATACAAGATGTAATAACCAAAATTACAGTGCCACCCAGAACCCAGGCTTTGTACCACAGCCTCTCACACAGCATTTAACTGAATTACTGCAGCAATCATGAAGCTCCCCCCATCAGTCCAGCCCTACTGCCACTGGCACTGCCAGTTAGCTAGCATTAGATGCTTCACTTTTCTCTCCCATTCATACTTCCATGACTCTACCACACAGAGCAAACAACAAAAGATAAGTCTTTATCATAATATTTCAAATAACTAGTCATTTGTGTCAAGAAGCCTACAAACCTCACTTTGCATGGTACAATACTATTTTAGCATTTTTTAGTGCTAAATTAAATTTAGTGGTAAATTTATTTGGACTTACATCTAAGGGATAATAGCAAAACCCTGAAAACAACAGTGAAAGATTACTAGAAGTTGTCTATAAACATGGGAAACCTCTTTTTTTGAAGGGCTGTGGTGGAAGCAGTTAGAGAGTTATGTACTATCCTGAGTAGGATGAGATTTATGAAGAAAATATGCCATTTATAAAGCTAGTATTAGTTTAGAGCACAACCAAAATTACACAGAGACTCTACAGAAATAAGCATCATATTAAAAATTAGAAAACATACAGAACACATTCAAAATATCGTACCTTCACGAGATTCAAAATAATAATGGGAGAGCCAAATCTCTGAAGCATTTGGTCAAAGTGAAGAGCAGCAACATGTGCAAAAGGATCTGCTTGGTCCACTGCAACAAATACATATATTCAGGATGATATTAAGCGAGCTGTAGAGTCACTTAAATAATTTTCCCTTAAAAGTACTCTTCACAAAAGACATACTAATTCTCTGATAGTAATGATACAATTACATACTTTCCCTTCTTTTCATGCAAAAGCTGTTAAAAAACCCAAACTCTTCCCTTTCCCAAAATGGAAGCAACTTCTTAACCAAAATTTTCATGAGGTCCTTATAAAACAGCAATTATTCTGGCCCCATTAAACATAGCCCAGATGTTTTCCGCCATTTTCAATAGGCTCAAAATCTTACCCACAATACTAAGATAAATGTAGCTACCTTTGTATACAAAATAAGCACAAAGAAAGCTGACATCTTCAAACAGAAGTTTTTTGTATTCCACTTTTGAATGTGAAGCCTAAGATGGAGATTTTTTTTTCTATTCAATTTCATCAAATGCAGCTTTTTATATGGTTGAATATTTGTATGCCATGATGTTGATAATAAAGAATATTGATTTACCTTAAGTTATGGCTTCCCAAAGAACAAATGCATAGAGAATTCATTCATTTTTGCAAATTTAGTTTTCACTTACTCTCTCAGGTGTTCCTTTAAGACACAGCACTATAAACTATCACAAAGAACAATTTGTACATACATGTTATGGGTGGCTTAGGCATCATAGTTGAAATATCTTGAGACCAGTACAGAGGGACAGATCCTCGAACCTGAACGTAGGAAGAATAACTCCCCGCAGAAAATGACATAACTGAAGCATCATAAAGTATTTGTTCAGTTTCCACTTCATTAGCAACATCTCCCTAAAACAAAGCGAAATACAGATATGTAGACATGACACTTCAGAGCAGCATGCATTATAGAGAACTGATCATTAAAAACAATTAAATTGTAAGAGACCAAATCACAGTAGTGAGAACACCACTGAACATTAAATTCCCATTTGTCCCTAAATGTATATTGCCAGATTTTTATATTTTTTTCCTCCATCTGGGAAAGAACTTTATCTCTAAGTGTAAAAAAAAAAAAAACCCCAACCTGCCAGTTAAGACTTATTATTTTAAGAACAGCTTTATTATCTCAATTAAAAATGTAATGATAGCTGTGATAACATTATCTAATAGCATAATTTACAGCCAAAACCCTAACAACCCTCTAAAACATTTCAGTTTTCTAGTCAGTCAAGCTCAAGCTTTCATATTGTTGGGGGGCAGGGGGGAATCGCTAAAAAAAACCAAAACCCACCAAAAAAACAAAACAAAAAACCTACCACACATTTAATTTACCTCACAGTTTGCTCCCCGTTTCAGAAAACGTGTTCCAGCAAATTTGCTTGATCTTCTGGCTATCAGGGTGACATATATAGGGCGACCATATATTAACAGTTCTTGAAAGAGACGTTAAGGTTTACATGTTATATGCAATTTTTCATTCATTTACTCCATGCAAGCAGAAATAAATTCTAAAAAAGGTGTATGAAACATCTGATTTACTAAAATCTCCTTAAGAGAGATGAGTATCACTTCCAAATTTCTTGTGCAGCTGAGAGAGAGCACTGCCCTTTTCAACAGTTGAAGAACTTTGAAAAGGGAATCCACATTACAATACATCAACCACTTTTCATAACATACAGAGGAGAAGTATTTCTATTTTATGAAGTGACAATGCAGGTGAAATAAGTACCAGATTCACCTTGGGCCGCAAATACTGCTTTCGTGAATACTGGGATTAAAGCCTGGGAGCTTCTATTTTCAGATCAGGTATACCAGTCACCCTCTAATTATTTGTCTGGAAAAGTAGGTAAATCTGCAACTAAAGTAACAACAACTGAAAGCCAGAGGCAAGCCACTAAATATGCAGTGGTGGCTTTCTTTTAGGCTTTTTATTTTTTATTAAAAACAAAAAAGATAGAATCAGATGTGTCACGTGACTATCACTGCTTCCTTAGCAGAAGGGAGGCACAAGAAAGAGGGAAGATGACATTTGCTCAAATACCTAGAGCAAAGACTATTGTCACTCACAAAGCAGCAGCAGGCATAATGCTGGTGGTCAGATCCACAGCTACCACTTCAATTAAGTAAGACCACAGATGAAATTGTGGCATATAAAAACAGATCTAGCCTTCTGTCTGGGGACCAAGCCAATGACCAGAAGCCTTACAATCATGAAAAAACAAAATTAAATTTTGCAAAGACACCACTAACCTTACCTTCATAATCATATTTGCTTCCCCAGGTATTTCATTGACAGGCTTGTAAACTAACATGATACTGTTGATGATTAAAATATAGTGTCTCTGTAATATACTAAATTCTTATCAACTGAGATGTTGAGATGGTATTTCTTTGGAGCGTGATAGGCATTTCGGCTTTTTTGCCTCCTACTACAATGTGCGTAGACCCATTTACCCATTTTAGATAATATATAGTCAGGAAAAAAGATTTTCAGATGTTCTAGTGTTTACTTAACTGTCTTCACACAGCAGATGAAGTTCTGTCATCAACAGAAACAGAGTACATACAAAAATTTCTGCAAATCTCACTTACTAAAAAAAAATGTTTTAAAGGAGATTAGGAAGAGAACATTTCTATGTCAGTGATTCAGTTCTGTTTAACTTTTCTCTCCTTCCTCAAATATCAGTAAAAAATACAGCTGAGCCTTAAAATCCTCTCATGTTCTTTATTACTAAACCCCATGGTTACAAACAGTTGCCTCACTGAGAATGCAGTCTACCTGTGGCAGGGCCCTGTTATAAGAACATAACTATTTCCTGTTTAGCCATAAAACCTAGAAAAGTAATGAAAATAAAAGCCAACCAATAATTCTAAAATTTTAAAGTATTTACATGACAAAGAAATAATTCAATGTATTTCACACATTCAAACTTAAAAAAAAACATAAATGAAAATTTGTTTCAACACTAAAAGGATACTTGATTGCCCACAGAATCCGTGAATAATATACAGCAGCCAGTCACGATGAACAGTACTTTTTACTGCCTCCAGAAGCTTGCCATTCCACACATACTTTTCATAAGGCTTACTGCAAATCCCAAATACACCTAGGAAGTTGTTACAATGAAAATGCATTAGCAATTAAGAAACAAGCTTACCTGCATTGGACTGTTTTAAAATGCAGGTCGTTGGACCTCTACTTTGTTTTTTTTCCCTTGACTGCAACTCAGTATAGCATTTATTCGCATCCTTGAAGTGTGCCAAACACAGAAAACTTCAGGCACTAAAGCTCAGCATTTATGAAGATTTCCAATTTTTCTGTGGTTGCCGGTCACTGTAGTATTTGAATGCCTTCATGCAGAAGTTTCCAATACTTCCAGTACTGAAAAGAGATCTCTGCATGTTAACAGTAGAGCATTTGATAATATGAGAAATAAATCAAGTTGTGAATTCCATTTAAGGCAAAAATACTCTCATAGGAGGACTTTATAAGCTTTTAAATTCTGGGTCCCTCTAGAGTTACCTGTTAGGCTCTGGAAGATCATGCATAGCTCTGGCCCCCTTTACAAAAAGTATGTGAATCCCCTTCTCACATAATTTAGCTTGGTTTTCCTAACTTGCACAGACACCAAAAAATGGAGCTATTGTAGATGTGCAAACTAAAATTCAATTTCTGATATATCTGGAACCTGAGTCTTTTTCTGTTTCAAAAATCAGAACCAAGATGACAACTGACACTAAAAGGTGGCGAAGGGACCTGAATGAGTCTGAATCTTGAAGAGGAGGAATAGGACAAGAACTCTATTAGCTACATTTTTTTTTTGTGTAGTTTTTTCAAATGAAGTTTCTGGAAGGATGAGTTATATTGTAGTAGTATGTACATCAATTACAGCAGACAAATGTTCTGCTGGGGGAGAAAGATGAGTTCTCCTAACAGACCGAAGGTGAAAATGCAGCCATTGAACAAACTGTTGCTACCGACTCACCCTGCTTACCATAAGCCCATGGAAAAACTGATGTAACCATTTTGGTGAAGGAGTGTATACATTCAGCAGAACCTGGCCACAAGCGTTTGGTCAGTAATTTGTCTTCCTTCCTATTTCTAGCAGCATTACTTTGATGAGAATTTGTTCTTGAATGACAGGTGGCTATTTCTTACACATATTCTATCATATGATCAGACATGTTACTAATATCTACTGGAAATGGAGTTGTGTGCGCTATAAGCATGCTGCTGATGGGGTCATGGTTATGGCATCTTTATCTCACAATGTTTTCACAAAGACATAGAAGAGATGATGCCATTGTATGGATTCCTGAGGGATCTTACAGATAAGAGCCTTTGCAGAGGAGGAATTATTGCACCCTCCACACTTTGTGGTCACTGTAGTATTTGACAACCAGTTCCTGATATCCTCATATACATGACTGTGTTACTAATATCATTTTGGGGGGGGTGGGGGAGGAACTGCTTTTCTTTAAAAGGAAATACATTATTTGATTATCTTTCAATTTTTCCATCAGATTTAGGACATAGTTTACACAGCATTACTTTCAGGCTTTTAAATGACAGTATGATAGCTGTTTACAAGTATTTAACATAGTAAGTTCCAGTGTCAAAGATGATTAGTTACTTACCTAAGATTCATTCTCATTCTTTGAGTTGTAGTCAGTGTAGGTCTATTCTAGGTATTGTGATGGAAGGGTGTCAAAAACAAAAGGGTGGACAGTGTCCAAGTTCATCTTGCATAAATTTGGGTCAGGGGTTGTTTTTTAACAATGTGCTTGTCAGACCTTCAGAGTCCCCTTTGGAGGCACAGAAAGCAGGACCAATAAATTCCTTCTTCAGTGCCTTGGAAGATTCATTTTGGGTTAGAAGAGGTGGAAGACAAATCATGCAATTCACACTATCTCAGAGAACCAAAGTGTCTTTGTGACAAGTGGGATTTTTGTACCGTATTTCTCTGTGTATTATATTTTCTGTGCAAGAGAGGTTACACAGTGAGTGACTAAGAATAAGGATGGTAAAGCAGAGGGGCTGCTGAGCCTCTTTATAACCAATACAAGCACAGATCCAGATTCTATGTTGCATCTAACCTGGCTTCGATATTAAGTTCATAGTTTTAAACAAAATAGTACCAGACTTTCTCTATACTATTGCTTTGCTTATCCATGATGTATTTAAAAGGCATGGTGGTGTATTACTAGCTAAGAAGGTTGGTTATATCTCCACAGCTGTTTGAGACCACTTTTACAGCAATGTATTCGTTATGAATCAAAGGTAGCACTGTTATTTCTGATATTTCATGCTTAAACAAGGAGAAAAGTGGTGTCACATACACAATACCCAAAAGTTAAAAAAAAGCTAAAATGTAATTTTTTGACAAGCATTCACATAATTAGTACAAGTCACAGGGCAATAAAACATAAAAAGCACCAACTTCAACAGAATGAAATCCAATATTAAGAATTTCAGGGGAAACTTTCTTTTTTAAAAGTGCAAAGTAGAAGGGAGAACAAATAGTGTTCCTGCCTGGCCGGTCATCTATACACTCTTATGAATACGTTAGATCCAAAGTGAAGGCTGTAGTTTTCAACTGAAATCAATGATTTTTCTTAGGCTTCCTGATAGTGCTTACTACATCAAGTTGACACTAACTTCATACAATTCCTCTGTTGTCAATATTTTGCGACATGAAACAAAAAAGATTTGTTAGTATTTAATCAGTTACTGGTTCCCACTCTCTTTGTAATTCATTCCTATTGGGAGTCTTTCAAGTCAGTTGAATAATCAATTGCTGAAAAACGTCAGCATGCTCAATTATCTCCCTGAGTTGCAATGTAAATTAACAAAACAATGATTAATCACCTCTAGAAATTGCAGTTTAAATTCAAATGTCTGTAATTGGCACTTTACGTAATCTTTTATTAATTCACGACTGTTACAAGACTACTGATCAATACAGAAGACCCGAATATTTCTCAAAAGTAAACTTAAGTGAAATATATATTCTAGATGTATTCATGACCAACAACATTAGTTTAATTAGACATATTTTCTTACCACTTCCACCTTGTGTTGAAAGTCCTTCATCTTCAAATATATCAAAACTCTCTTGTCGGGTCTGAGCTGTTTCAGTTTTTAATGTCTCAAGCGGCATTCTCAGGACAGTAAGATTATACTGAAGGGAGTGAGATAGATCATAGCTGTAACTGACAGACAGTTAATATTTGTTAATAAGTGTAGATAAACAGGTCTCTTCTGAAAGCCCTTATGCTCCATCTGTACTATTTCATCCAAAAAATAGGGTACATATTTTTTCTAGTACTATTTATAGTACTATTTCATATTTATAGTACTATTCATATTTATAGTACTATTTCATCCAAAAAAAAAAAAAAAAAAAAGACCTTGAAACAAGATACACAGATTCTGAATCTGTAATGGCAATGACAAATTTACAAACATAGAAACTGTTTACAGTACAGTAGCTGAAATTGTATTTATAGTCATTATAACTGAAAACTGAACATGCCTTTGAAACAAAGCATATCAAACTTAATTCACTATGTCCCAAGAAGCAGTCCTGAAGATCAAAAATAGCTATTCTGCCAAAAATATCCATATACATAGACAACCTAATTTTTCTGAGATTTAAGTCCTACTCTCTAACTACCACCTGAACTTGAAACAGGCAAAAGTTTGGTCCAGAAAAAGTGTATCTGTCCTCAAATTCGTGATTTCAGCACAGATGCATCCTAAGACAGTGGCTGCTGAATAAGCAAAAGGGGTTTTTTTGTTAGTTCCATAACAGTAACAAATTCTGCACCTCATGTCTTTTATACCAACACCACTCTACGCTAATTGCTAAATTTTATAAGCCACTAGGATACATTTCCCCAAGGAGAAACCAAATATACACAACACTTGAGTCAGAAATACAGATTTCCACTTTAGCCTAAGGCAGCATCAGTGATTGCTGGCCCTCGAGTAAGTTCAGCTATTCATTAATGATCTAAAAAATTTTATTTAAACGTTGGACATTTAGATTTATCACTGATGATAAAAAATAGTCTAACCCATGTACTCACTCTACATTTCCACAATAATGACCTAACAGGCTTAACTGTTAGAAAAAAACCCAGTCTGTTACATGCTCAGTTTGCATAAAACAGAACCTTTAAACAGTATCGTAGTAAAAGATTTGTTCAGGCTGTTCTTCCATTTTCCCCTTACACCAAATGTTTTCATGTACCTAACTTCTAATTCTGTTCAGTATTTATATGAAAACCCCACAGAAAAATATGCTATGATTTCAGCCAAGAACATTTAAATTAAACCGATAAATGTGTTTATCAGAGTCTTGTAAGAACCTTCTCCTTTCCCCTCTACACAAGACCACAGAAACAGCATACATTCATCATCTCCAAGCAGAAAAAAAAACCAAAAGAAGGTTGTATAATGTTAGGGCTGGGAGACAAAGCATGGAAGAGAAAAGCAGTTTTTATACTGTGAAAAAGCCTTCCAATGCAAAACCATGAAACAAACATGAAACTTCAGTAGGTTTCATCTTCACAGATACAGCTGTGACAAAAAGCTTTTTATTTTCCAAGAGGGATTATGTTCTAGACTGTTAGATACACCTTTTGGTACTTGTAAGAGGGGTTTTTTTGTTTTGTTTTTTTAAGTCTTAAAGTGTTCTAACTATTACTGTCGGGTTTATCACCCCATTTCCCCTATTATGCTGCTGTCCCAAAAGTCTCATGTGTAATAGTAGCTGGGACTAGACATAAACTTGTCTCAGGTATGGCATTTATGAAACAATAAGCAAGAGAATTGGTAATAGCTAGAAAGCCCTATGAAATATATACCCTATGCAGGGTATGTCTTAGATGAGGACCTATTTCTATATCTTTGTGATATATGTTTTGATTAAAAGGCAAACCTTTGTTTCTGGAAAATGAGATCAAGAAAGAAAAACTGACAAGACAAGCAAACCCCCTGAAATATACTACTTTTCCAAAGAGAGAACTTCTGCATAATCTGGCAAGGGTAAAGTCAATGGAAATAGTAATTTCAGTATCTACCTTCTACTATGTCAGTAATATTTGTATAGTTTTTCAGCTTCATGGAGACTACACACCTAATCAATTTGTTGAAGCAGAAAGCAAGTTCAAAAGACACAGATGAAAACGGACAAGCAGTGTGATTATGTGTCTTCCCCAGAATACCAACCTAAAGATTTTGGGCATCAACATCCAAAAGCAGAATCTTACAGCAAATGTAAGCATACAAATTTTTTAAAGGAATTAGTAACTAATACTTACCTAAAATAGAAGTTGCTAGAAAGGTCCACATTTTGAAAGATTCTCAGATACCTAGCAAAATAATTCAAGTTAAAGGGAAAGTTATTACATTAACCAGACAGACCCCAAGAAGTCATTCAGGGGATCTCAGAAATTAAACTACACATAAATATTGGCTCTTGCCATAAATTCTCTAGCTATCTTACTGTAATTGTTTTGACAGGTAATTCCACTCGAATGTCAGCATGTGGATTAAATAAATCAAATAGCCTTTTTTTAATCCAGTGTCTACATGTATATGCATTCTGCTTCTTCATGCAGTTGTAGTTCTGTTTTCCACATGTGGGTCAAATTTTCTAGGACTTACACAAGCAAACTCCCAACAGTACTATACAAGAATTGAAGATTTTTGGTGTTATTCTGAAATAAATGAGCAAGAAAAGAAATATCTACTTCAACCTGTCATACACTTGCAAATTCTCAGGAGAAACCGTAACACTGTCTATGAACGATAAAATGGCTAACACCATAAATATATAGGTTAGACAATATGGTCTGCTTCATTCTAAGAGGGGAGATTGAGGTTTACCACCAGTCATACCTTTAAGTGGGAACTTTTTAACAGTTACCATTGGCTTGATTTATTACCTGACATCGGCTTGTCATAATCCATCACTTTTTGACTATTCACACTTGGTACAGGCTGAAAAGCAGTTTATTGAAATAATTTACTTGTATGAAAGACCAGACAAAGTTACCTCACCCTGATAAAAACACCACCAGGATGTACTTGTACATTTCATAGAATCATAGAATCATTTAGCTTGGAGAAGACCTTTAAGATCATCGAGTCCAACCACAAACCAAGGTTCAACTTTGAAATTGCTGCTGCATGCCATAGAAGACCTAAGACTTGTGAGACAGAGCTGAAGAATTTGCAATACCAACTCAACAGAACTACTTAGCTTTACTAAATATCAAAACAAAGACACCTTGTACCCATAAAGCTGTATCTTGCAGAGAGATTGCTTTCTCTTTCAGAAAAGGCAATTGTAACAGACATTGTTATCTGAGCCTTCTCTGCAGCAACTTCATTTCAGATCATTAAACAACTTGTTACATAGAGACAAACTCAGTACTACTAATTACAAGGTTCCTTGCTCATCAAAGGCTCAAATTTCTTTCTTCAGAAAGAAGTCACAGAAAGGAGAGAAGTAGCTAAACTTACCAGGTCGTCAGTTAATCACCCTTTACACCACCAACATTCACAAGATTCTGACAGCACAGGATCACTAAATTAAATAATCTACTCAGCACTTCTTGAAGGGTACAAAAGATCTCTTCAGGTGAGATTGACATGATGCTAGAGCTACTAACAAAAGAACAGTACCTAAACATAAACCAACATTAGCATTACTTTGCCCTTGTAAGAACAATGTTTATATTGGATGCTTCCTGGTGCACATTTGCTAGGATGTATCTTTGACATGTAGGTGACATTGAGATGTGGACAAAAAGCTCTAAAAGACTGTAACAGTTGTATTTACCCTCCAGGTAGAGGCCACAGAACTTGTGTCCCAATCTCCATTCTTCCACACTAATTTATCAGCTAAGGTAAAATGGCTTGAATGACATACTAACAGAAGGAAATCCATAACTAAAATTTCTAGTTGCAGTTCACCATTGCTCAGAAAATATTCAAAAAGTACACACTGTTTATCACCTTTACTTACCTGGCTTCATCAGGATGAGTGATTCTTACAGAGTCATTTGGAATGTAGATCATATTTGTATCTTCTATTTTATATATTGCATGACCTCCAATATCTGCCATTTTTCTTCTTTTTGTTATTAACACAATGTAGTAGCCTTCTAAAAACCTGACAAAACCTGTTAAAACAGCATTAAAATGCTATTAGTTGGCTGTTTGTGCTGATTTGATCAAACGTATTTAGAAAAATGGTATCAGAACTGTTTCAAGACTTCATAGAATTTTTGTTTGTTCTTAATGTTACATGTATAACGTGCATATATACACATACAAAAATATACATATGCATAGACACAGAGTCTTACAATTCACCTCCAGTAAGGGTTAATAGTTTTTACTTTTTTTCCCCTTCCACTGTGCACAGTTTTAATATCAGGTAGCAGAGTTAAGACATTGAAAATTCAGAATAAGTTGCTGTCTACTTAAGATACTTGTATTTGCTTTTTATAGAACTCTCACCGTTCAGAGCAAAGCATACCCTAATTACTTCAGACACAAAAAGGTTAATTTTCCAGGGCAAGGAGGAATCCCAATCTCCAATTTTCTTTTCGGGTTTATGTATTCTCTACTGGGGAGGTGCACAGAACAGCAAAAGGAGTTGAGGGTACTACAACACCTTTGCGCTCTCTCTCCTTAACAGCAGGGAATGAAATTCCCTGTCTACAGCAGCATCTCCCCCAAATTAGCCATTCAGAGCATCAGGGGTAATCCTTTCTTTCTATTTCCTCTCTCAGATACCAACACTTGACCCTGCTGAAGTTCAGAGGGCTGAGGAGGTAGAACAGGCAGTGCCTGGCTTTATTACCTACCAAATGTAGGCTTCTGAGGCCTCAACCCTCATTCCCTAACGCTACAGGGCATAGCCATGCTTCTTCACTGAGTTGCTTCTTTGGACGTCTCTATTACATATCATTAGGAAAAAGCATAACAAACCTTTAAATACAATACTAATGTATAAACTCAAATTAAAATTGTAACTATGTAACACCCCTGAACCCAAATTTGTTTCTAATACAGCATAGGCAGTGATACAGCAGACTAAGTTTTAATAACTAATAAATTACATGAATTAGCTCTTGGAGGTAGCTGCTTTGATGGGTTGCTACTAGTAAAGAGCCATAAACTCAGTCACTGCTGCACTGCCAACAAATATATTAATTGGGGGGGGCGGTATGGGATGCACAACCTCACAATTCACATTTTAACTTGTACTTATATTCAGTTCTTTTAGCTTTGCATTATAAACTAAAGAAGAAGGATGAGCAAAGCACACATTTTCTTCCCTGTCACTGCTGGAGGCTGCAATGTGATCGAATGAACTGCAATTCTTTTCTTCTGCCTTATTAGCCCCCCTTGGAAAAATGCTCTCACCTGCACAAGGACAGGAAACCCTGCTGACAGTAAGAAACAAAGTCTTCCATTTGAAGCAGCTAGACTATTGAATTTCAGTTTTTAAATAGCAGTCAAAGTTCTTCCTGTATCCTCCAGGCACCAAGATCACTTAAGTGAACAGTCTCTATCCTCTGAATTTCACCAAATGTTATACCAAAGCCTGATAAGGAACCCAGCCTTTCCCCTTGGCCTGGTTCTCGTCATTTAAAAGAGATTTCTACTTTTAAACACTATACAGTGAACCAGAACTTAGCCTATCAGCACCCCCATTCTGAGTGCACTGAATGCACTGTCTCCGGTTAATGAAATAACCAGAGAACAAAGCAAAGCTGTCCTTTCCAATTGTACAAAAAATAGCCCTGTCCTCCTGACCTGAGCCAGGAGGCAGAAATAAATGACCAACTGCATTCCCTCAAATGAGATGTTTATACATACAGATATGATTAGATAGGATCAAGATGGAAGACATCTAAAGCACATACTTTAAAAGGGCAAGATAATCTGAAGATCACTAAGAGAGCATGTTATTTCTAAAAAAAAAAAAACCTAGAAATAGTACACCATATCTGATAACCAATATATTTGTCCAGCTACAGAATATAAACTCTCCAGTTATGAGAAGTACATATAAACAAACATACAATTGAGATGCCAAATTTTCATTTAACACAACCACTTTCCAAACAAATATATTATCACATATTTCAACAGTAAGCATTGATGGCTTGTGCAAAAAAAGCCAATGGCACAAGACTGTTAGAAGCTGCTTTAGGCTTACCCATATTATTAATATTCTTAAATTAATAGGGAACATGAACCTCATCTGAGGAATTTCTGAGAAGTGGATCCATTGATAGGTTCCACAATGCCTCATGGACCAAAGGAATATAGAAGAAAGTTTGCTTAATCTGCCACTTTAGATTAGAATACTAATAATATTTTTTATGTTTGGCTTGTTATGCAAAATTCAGGAGCATCTTTTAAAGTCATTGCAGTCTCCACTTTCTCTGCAGCTTTGGATTTAGATGTTCAGGTGTATATTGATGCAAAAAAGTATTCTTGGGGGCTGTCAGAGTACACATTAACATTTACTGTGGAGACTTTACCATCAGTATATTGACCTCAGTATGTGACAACAGGGAGGAAAGTAGTGACTTTCGGATGAAGTTAGAAGCTATTAAAACCTTGAAGCAATCCTCCAGAATTACGGACAGCTGATCAGCATTTAAAAATTCAGTTGACATACTAGTCAGTTATCCTTGTTCAAACATGAAAGAAATTCTGAAATATGTCACTGCAAAAAGTTAACCAAAAAGAAAATTAAGTCATCTTTCTGAATAGTGTGTGATGACAAAATACAACCTAACAAAGGAGGTCAACTTTTGTTTTCTTTTAAAAAAGGATTCTGTGAGCTCTGGAATTCGGAAGGCCGTATTCCACATGATTTGTATTCTGCAATCAGTTGAGTTTGGTGAGATCTTCAACCAACCTTCTAGAGTTTGGCCATTTCCTAGATCTCTCCTTTAGTGATGAAGAGGAGACTAGTTACAGCACAACTCTCATCCCCATACTTGCCATCTGTTTTCATGAAATACATAGAAACTTAATTATCTTCAACAATGAAATTTCTCAATCCTCCTCAGTTTAAAAAAAACAAAAAACATCAAGGGGAGACAGAAAGATACACAGTGTGGCACAGCAAGCCTCACCTCCTTAAGAAATAAAGTTTTTATAAAACCAAACAAAACACTTACCTACTACACCAAAAGCAGAAACAGCTCGAGATAACCCAGAAGAGCCCTTCTGTCCAATCTTTGTTCTGTTTCCCAGGTCTAAACGGCCAAGAAGTTCCCTCACCTCTTGTTGTGTGTACACATGCTTTAAAATAAAAAGTCACTTAAGTTACTGCTTTGGTAGTTAAATATTATTTCATGTCAGCAAATAGAAGAACTTACTTAATATACAATAAACCAAACTCCTGCTCTGCATCCTCTGTCTCCTGTTTCAGTCCTACCAACAAGTACAAGTTTCTTTTCACACAAAACTCACCACTGCAATAGAAATATTCATGGTCACTGGTGAATTCAAACATTTCTAAGTCTTAAGTGTTAAGATTTTAAATGATAAACTTCTTGGAAAGGAATCAAGTCTTATTCTATTGTGTACATTAAGACTCTTGTTGCTGCTGTTTGTTTTGCTTCAGATATATCAGAAACACAAAAAATTTGGCTAGAGAGTAATTAAATGTATTTTGCACTCAGAACAGCATAGCTGAACATAAGAAAACCATTGGGAGCCTATACGTAATAAACTGAAAAACTTGGGAAAACTTCATTAAAAGTGAATGTGCTGTTTGGAGATCTTGTGGCCACTCCCATACTGTAACTGGTCATTATCATGCTAATACTGTATGCATCTGACATATGAGGAGAGGCTGAGAGAGGTGGGATTTATCAGCCTGCAGAAGAGAAAGCTCAGAGGGGGTCTTACCAATGTGTATAAATACTTGGTAGAAGGGAGTAAAGAAGTCTGAGCAGACTCTTCTCAGTGGTATCCAGTCAAAGGACAAGAGGCAATGGGCACAAATTGGAATACGGGCAATTCCATTTGAATGTAAGAAAACGCTTTTTTACTGTGAGGATGGTTGAACACTGGAACAGGTTACCCAGAGACGTTGTGGAGTCTCCAGCCATATTCAAAACGCAACTGGGCATGGCCCTGAGCAACCTGATCTAGCTGACATTGCTCTCAGCACAAGGGCAGGACTAAACAATCTCCAGAGATCCCCTCCAACCTCAGTTGTTATATAACTATGATTCTGTAACATACCTTTGTTGAAACAGGTTAAATGTGTAATATTTAAATTCAGCTCAATATAGACACTATTATTTGGAATAACTGAAAAAAAACCTAAATAGAGAGGCACTCACCTTATCATCAATTATAACCAGATCCTTTGGTTCAGTGCGATCTATTTTCAAAACACGGTATTTGGTTTCTGCAGGATTACTTCCAACGAGAAAATATCGCTACATTAAAAAAGAAAAGTCAGAATATCATACAGGATAAAGCAACTAAAGCCCATTATAACATAAGACATCAACAATGCCATTTATATAGTTTCTAGAGTAGATACATTTCAACTAACATCAAATATGTAATATTCCATATGGACTGTGAATAAACTGTTTTAGACATCAGTACCTTAGGTAGGTACATTTGTATACAGTCAACCTTTACAACTTAAAAGACCTCATTCTCTGCACTGTAAAAGGAGGAAAAAAAAATTAAAAATTGAAGAAAGGTGAAAAACTGTTTAGAGAGGAAAAATGTAATTTACACCAGGTACTGTCCAACTACACCCTGCCCCAGCCATTACTGTCTTCCCATTTGCTTTGTAAAATTTAGCAGAAGCTTACACACAAGTTTGTAACTTTTCATGATCTAAAACTACTGTTACCATACTGTAGTCCATTGCTATTTCTGCCAGCTAGTCTTTACTAGTCCATACTAAACACAGAAAAACTGTAAGTACTTCAGTACTGCAAGTTTTCTTCATTTTTTATTTATATTTGCAATGATAGACTTCTCACCAATGTTCTTCCACAACGCCCAGCCATGCTGGTTAAAAATACTACTTTTTAAAAAAAAAGACTAGCTTTATTTCTCACTTAAAATATGAAAGAAAGACCACTGATAAACATATAATGTGTCCATTTCTTATTTAAGGGAATCAAACTATAATGAATTTTTACATTTAGAGGAATTAACAGTAAGCACAGGTTGCAGGAATGACTTGCTATAAGTAGCTCTCATTTTACTAATTCATTTCATCAGTGTGGTGCTACCACGCAGCAAGGTATAACTCATTAATAATGCTCAGCCTAGTAGGAAAGCATGGCAAATTCATGTGGAACTATGCAGCCAGCTCTTAACTTTAAAAGTCACATGGATTGAAGACGTGGAAGAGGAAATCAATAACAACATTCATACAAACCTCAGAGTTTCATAATTTATACCAATTAGATGTTAAGAAACATCTTTACTGTCAAGATATTTAAGATGAAAGAAGAACTTAAAGCCTTCAGCTTCCTTGAAATCACAAAAGCATCTAGATAGTCAGTAAGCTCTAAAAAACAAAATAAAATCCTTAACTTTAAGAGCTATAAAAGGAAACACCACCAACTTCTGGCTCTTGTACACTGAGTTACTCTTGTACACTACACCTTGTACACTGACGTTACAGTGCTTACTGAGTGGCAAGTTTTGCTGTTTACTCCTAAACGACAGTAAAGAAGGCCCTTCAAAGTCATATGCCATTGCAGCACTCCCTCCCTGAAGCCTTTGAGGCAGCACAAGGAACTGTTCCCCACTGTTTTTTTAGCAGTGATGTGCTGCTGTGCACAGCCCAGGCTCCCCAGCCTACCCCCCTCACAGTACCCTCTGCAGGTGATCCCATAGTGCCAAGATCTCTACTTCCCAGGAGGGAAATCATAATGACAAGAAGCAGGTTGGAGCCTCCACTGTGTGGCACTGAACAGCATAAAGGTGGAGGATGGAGCTCTTCTGCTGGTATCACCCACCAGCAAGAAACTCCAAACAACCAAGAGAGATGCTTGCTTAGACCATGCCATCATACCATCTTTTTCTTCATGCAGTAGAAAGTGCATGGACAGAGGGAAATATCATATTCATTTGTAATACATGGATAAGTTAGTCTGCATTTTAAAAGTGCTGTTTCTTTATCTGTAGAAAATTGTTAATTAAAGCTAAACAATTTTAAGTAGTCCATAATACTGCAATACAACTCAGTGATCTCCCATGTCCAGCTCATTAAATGAGCGTAATTTCTTCCCAAAGTGACACCTATGGTTACCTACAAATCATCCTGAATAAAAATAGAAGAGTACAACTTAAGATTGTCTAAACAGCATTTTGGGCCAAAGACCACATTTAAAATTGGAACATGGCACATGACACACAGGAAGAGAGAGAGAGATATGGATATAGAGTTGCAAATGCTATTACTAAGGAAGTTCAGCTGGGTACTTCTCCATTTCCATTTTAATAGACCGATAAAACGTAAGGAAGCGCTATGAGGAACGCATCACTCACAACAGCTTGGCAGCTGCTGTAGTAGGCTATGCACAGCTACAGTGCCAGCTTCAAGTGCTGCTGCTGCTTAGAACAGCAGCAGCTAGATTAGATGAGAAGTAATTGTATCTGCAGACTATGGTAGCAACCACCATAATGAGTGTTACTTAACAAGCTCCCTTTGAAGTCCTTTAAAGACTAATTTAGGGGGTTTGTTTTAAGTTAGAAAGCTAGGCTGTGTAATGTATTGAGGAAGGTCAGCTGAGAACAGCATCAAAACCCAGCACCAATGGACCTAAGGAAGCCACCTTCTTAGAAAGCCAGGCAATGGGAAATCTCAATTTAGCAAATGAGAGTCTTACCCACTGCATGTTAGAGGATATTCTTGTAGAAGTAATAAAGGAAACATCTGCAATATCTTTTGAATTTAGACTGGTCCTCAAAATTACAAACCCCAAATTAGACTTCTACCTGGGAAATTTTCAGGACTAGCTAACACTCAACGCCAGAAATGCTTGAAAAATAGCATGATATGCCAGCTCATATTCAACCTTCAAGGTCTGAAATGAAAACAAAGATGATATGAAAACTAACAATGCAAAATGAAACTAAAAAAGACATTTCAGCATTAGCTGCTTCTGCTGCCTAATTTATGCATCTAATGAATAAATAAGTCTGTCTTACTGGATGATATGGAGCACAAATAAAACCATATCAGAGACGTGTACAGCAATTAAATTTGCCATCACACGAATACTAGGAAAGAATAAAGAAAAATACCAGATCAACACAACACTGAGCATGTATCATCAAATAAATTCATTTCTGAGGTTGAAACATAATTGCAAAATTAATCAAAGCTAAAATGTGCTGTACTGTTTACAACTATTTTGATTAACAGAAATCATTATAGTGAAAGAAATGAGAAACCACAGGTAAGCTACAGAAACCTTTCTGGGATTTTCTATCCTTATTCTCTTATGCCATTTATTACGAAGTTGAACTGAATAAATTGAAGCATTTTGCAAATGTCTCAAACAATTCCACTCCACAGCACAGCCACTGCATTTAGATAAATGGAAAACCTTGACCAACAAAGTACTTTCTCAACACAACGGTACACAAAGAGAAACTGTGCAGACTTCCTCATACTACCCTGCCGAAGTTCTTTAACCATCACCTGAGATGAAACACACTGTTTCCAGGTTTAGTCTGCCCTTGGCCTTGCTGAAACTTGTTAACAAGTGCACTTTGCCAGCCATGACAGCACACCATGCAGGTACTTGCCTATAAGATCTGGCCTGAAGCTTAACTTATTGCACAATTATCACTAAGCAACCACAAGATAGGAACAATCATTAGTCAATTCCACCCGGGACTGTGTTTTAACCAAAGCAATCTAATTGAAAGGCTTTACACCCTCTTTTATCAATCTTTTGATTCAGCCGAACCAACAAAAACAGCTTCTTCTAAAAGGAATCCAAACAAAAAACTTCTTACTGCAAATTGTTGTTTATAATGGCAGGATAACAGTTCTGAAATCAAACATTCTGCCCACAATTTTTTTTTTTCCTTTAAGAAGATTACTTCTTAGAACTCCTGGTCTAAAACTATGATTTGCTTCTTTGTATAGACTAATTATCATTAAGAAGTGTTAGCACTGTAAAGAACTTATTTCACTCATCAGTTAAAAAGCAACACACAGCTTAATCAGCAGAAAAAAGATGTGAAAACACACTAAAAGCTACTTGAAAAATACGGCAGTGCACTCACAGCCAATTTTTAAACCTGCAAATAGCATAAGGAAAACACTCAACAACTTATACAAAATGCTTGCAAAAGATACCCGTTAAGCCCATGGATATGTCTAAAAAACACAAAGCCCTAAGGAAGAGCGGTGGGTTGACGTTGGCCAGCTGCCAGACCCCCCCCAGTCGCTCTCTCACTCCCCCTCCTCAATAGGACAGGCGGAAAAAATAAGATGGAAAAGGTGACGGGTCAAAGCAAGGTCTGTTTTAGGGCCAAACTTTGTTTTGAAAATAAAAAATAGCAATAGAAAATACCTATTTTTCTTCATCCTTCCGTTACATTTAAATACATCAGTTTGTGATCATTTATCCACAAACCCCTCACCACCATTTTGTCCAGAAAGGCAGATTCATAACAAAACCAAATCTATAAGAGTGTCTCTTGCCTGTTGATCTAGTGACTACATTATGACACCCAGGACAACACAGGACAAAAGAAATAAAACATACGTCGCCAAAACAACTTAGGCAGACATTTGAAGGCACGTGTTTCGCATGCAGTGTGGTGCTACCACTTTTGAACTTTATTTTTGTTCTGCCTGAATAGCATACACGTTCAAAACTTGTCGTATTCTCATCCCTGCTATCCCACCAAGTATCTGCCGTACTCATAAATGGTCTCAGATCCCACATACACCAGTTGATTAAGTTTCTCTATTTTATTGCCCATTTATCTGGCACTATATCAAGACATTTAAGACACAAACAGTGCCTTCCTGAGTTTCACAAAACTCATTCTCTTGTCCCAACTCCATCCTCTGCTCCATTACGTCATCACCATTCCTGGAACACCATTACAGAGGGAACAGGACAGTCAGCCGAGAGGGTCTGTCTTCTGCTAATGAAAATATTCCAGAAAGACCAAATTTCACAGCCACTTCTAGCTAGAAAATGATGATAGCTAATGTTTGCCCAGTAGATTGTTCCCTACTTCCAGCATTTTTTTAAATGCGTCAGATATCCATCTATATAAATCAGTGTGCTTCATAATTCAGTAAAAATTCTGTAGCTTTTTCTGTGAAATCTCTTCTACATTAAAGTTTCTCCAATTTGACCACAGACTAGCTTCAGCATTAAGTAAGCAAACCTTGTTTTTGTTAATATAAAAACATTCAAATTATTTTCAGAAGAAATGACATTTAAAAAAAAAACAAACCACCAGCCAAACCCACAGTTTTCCCTGGGGAAAAGGGCAGAAAAATCTACAGGTAATTATGCTAGTCACATTGCTTAATAAGCTTATGCAAGTCATTTGGATACTGTGGAGATGGAGACTGTAGAAGAACCTGATTAGAATAAAATAATATTAATTAAGCTTCATAATATCCTGAAAGATAGGCAAGTGATATGCCTTTATAGAGATGGCACAAATTGACTTGTTCAATGTCACACCGCCTCAGGGGAATGATAATTTCCAATGAACTACCTACAGCTTTCAGGTGGGCTTCATTTGGGGGATACACAAAAGTTCTGCCTTCTCCTAAGAGAAAATATCTTTTGTTTCTTATTAGTCATATTCCTGAAATATCTTTACTGCCCTCTGGCGTGCATTTCAGCAGTAAATATATGCATAAAATGAAAGATAATTGGCATTGATCTGAATACAACTGTTTCAGTTCATTTTTCTGACTACTTCTAAACAAGCCTTCAACTTCCCAGGACAAACAGGAGATACAATTCACATCTCTGTTGTATTTATTGACCCAAAGCATCAGTTTAAAAGGTAGGTCTCAGCAGCTACCCTAAATATAAACATTAATAGAAAATATAGAATTTTGCCCTCTGTTGCTTCAATTGACACTGTGAATTCAGTTCTTCTCACCTCTAGGAGTATTTCTTGTTTGACTCCAATAATGCTGCCAGAGCCTTTCCTGTTTGACTTAAATAGTGCTACTGTACTCTTAACTAAAAAAAAAAAAAAAAATCAACCAAAAAAACCGTGCCTAACCATTTCCACTTTCTCATCCATTTCATCTCTTCCTCCTTTAACACAGAGGGGTTTTACAGGAATAAGGAGTATGATCAGTGTAAATTCCACTGTTTCTCCCACTGCTGACAATTGAAGTCATCCCTTCCTTGCCCACTCAAGGTCTCCACAAGGCATCTTAGGATATAGTTTCATGTTACCCTATATCCGATGTAACTCCTGGTCCCACATGGTTATACTGTATCTAGCAAACATATGGCCTTAGGGAAATCAGAACAGTAACGTGAACCAGGAGAAAGCTATTCAATTTTATGTCTGAGTGATGCTTCCGTCATATCAGTGACCGTCACAGCTGGTGACTGCATGATTGTGAGATTTTATGCAAAGGAGGCTGCATGAGGGATACCTCAGGGAGAAGAAGTGGGAACTTTTGTCAGCAGTGCAATGTGACACTGAATCAGCTGTAACAGCAAATTTCCGTCTAAAACTCT